AAAAATAAAACAAAAAAAAAAACTATCTAATAATAAAAAAGAAAATAATATACAAAAATGTGAAGATAACGAAGATGAAGAGTAAAAGAAGGTGAAGAAGATGAAAATAAGGAGGAGGATAAGGTGAACGAGGTGGTGGTGGTGAAAGAGAAGAAGGTGGAGGAGGAGGAGGAGGAGGAAGAAAGGGGCTTAAAAAAAAGCAGCAAAGTCGTGCTTCTTGTATAATGAAAGTGCGATCGATCTCATTGACCATTGACGCCGCCCTCTAATTCTACTACTACTACTACTACTACTACTACTACTACTACTACTACTACTACTACTACTACTACTATTACTACTACTACTACTACTACTACTACAACACACTTCCATCCCATTTAATTCCTAATATCCCTTGGTCGCGTTGCATACTCGTCGAAATATTGCAACGTTTATCTTATAGACTTTTTAGTAATTATGTCCAAGAGATAATAATAATGCGCTTACGTGTATAGAGAAAAAAAAAAAGTGAGAGAGAGAGAGAGAGAGAGAGAGAGAAAGTGAGAGAAAAAGTAAGAAAGAAAGAGAGAGAAAGAAAGAAAGAGAGAGTTAGAATGTATGGGTGATAATTAAGTGAATATATGAGAATGTTTGTGTGTCTGTGAGAGAGAGAGAGAGAGAGAAAGAAAGAAAGAAAGACCAGAAAAGAAAACTTTGCACTATATCATCACATACGTTAAAATAAAAAACAAACATAAAACACACGCGTACACACCAATACACACAGGAGGGGAATAGTATAACGTGGAATGACGAGATGATCATGATGATAATGATAATGATAATGATAATGATAATGATAGTGATGAGGGGGGGGAAGAAGTTAAAAACTTAAAAAAAAAAAAAAGAGAAAAAGAAAAAAAAAATAATAAGATTTAAAAGAAAGAAAACGAGAACATATTTAAGTAGTAATTATAAGTAACTCTTACCTATTTACGATATTAATTATACTGTTGCGCGTAGGGCGCATGCCTCTAGAGAAGTAATGTTATATTAAAATGATAAAAACGAAAAATACGACGACAAGAACAACAAAAACAAATAAACAAACAAACAAACAAACAATAATTATGACAAGGAACCATTGGAGATGATGAAGATGAATATGAAAGGGATGAAAGTGATAAAAGGGAAGAAGTAGAAGAAGAGGAAGAGATTAAATGAGATGTGATCAAAGGAAAAGAATAAATTATAAATCATAGAATATACACACACACACAATACATACATACATATATATATATACACAGAAGTATATATAATAATTAAGGATAGGCGGATTAAAGAGTTAGGAATTTTTTCTAGTAATTTGTTTATGCTTTTATAATAGATTCTAAAATTTTCATTGGAGAGATATATCTTCTTCTTCTTCTTCTTCTTTATTTTATGTGTTTTCTTTTTTTTGTTTTATTTTGTAATTTTAATATTAAATTAAAGTATCGCTAAAATTCGTGGTACATTACATTGGTAATGTAGAAATATATATGCATGGTTTAATGTATTCTCACGTAAATACATAGGACACCACCTACCCGTTTATAATATGCATATACGTTTTACGTGTATTATGTATTTATGTGTGTGTTCTTTTTTTTTGAATGCATGCATATATATTGTTATATTGAAAGATGTGATGTATAATAGAAAGAGAGAACAAAAATGAATAATTAATATGGAGAGTAGTGTATTTTTATTTTTATTTTTTTAATTTTTTTATTCCAATTTTTATATTTTAATTTTTTCCTTTTCACTTTCTATTACGAATGGCCATTAACTTATATTTTTTCTTTTTTCTTTTTATGAGATATCTTTCTTTTAAAATGTAAAACACATTATTATTATTATTATTATTATTATTATTATCGTTAAACAAATTGAGTGTTGAAATTCAACGTGTTGATATCTTGAATTTTTGTAAATTCCGTATAGAAGAGAACAAAATTCGAGTAAACAAAGCATTTTCTTTACCCCTTTTGAAAAAAGTCAAATGTTCAAATCAAAAATTCGCCTAAATTACTCGAAGAGATGATTTTCTCACACATTTGTACCTTTTACTTTCTTTATTTTCTTTTTTTTAATTTTTTAATTCTATACTTAATACATGTACAAACAAAACAATCAACATACACAAACACACACGCACACATACATATATGTATATACATACAATATTTCTTTCTTTTTTTTTTTCTCTTTTCTTTTCTTCTTTACGTTGAATTAAAAAAAAAACGATTTCTCATCCTCTTTCTTCTGCCTATTCTTAAATAAATATTATTAAAAAAAGAAAAAAGTATAATATGATGTAAGAGTGAGAGAGAGAGAGAGAGAGAGAAAGAAAGAAAGAAAGAGAGAAAGAAAGAAAAAAAGAGAGAAAGAGAAGCGGGGGGGGGGGTTGAAGCGTGGATTTAGTCCGTGAGAATTATTATTATGCGTGTGCATGTACAGTGTAAAAGAGTTGATGATGATGATGATGCGTTGTGCATATGTACAGTGTAAAAGTATAAGTGAGGCACGAGCGAGATATGTGCGAGTATAAAAACAAAAAGAAATTAAAGAAAGAAAAAAAACCAGATTAAGTAAGCATATATATATATATATATCTATATATATATATATATATATACATACATATATATGTATAGGTATAATAATTACAGGTACAAGTAAGTATAA